AAGCCATTTTCATTTCAGTAACATAGCAGCTTTTTACTACACACACACACACACACACACACACACACACACACAGGTTTCCATCCACTGGAAATAAAAAACCTCTTTGGAAGATTCCCTACACTTTTTTAAACTGTAACCAGAGATAAAAAAAAGCAATGCTGCAACTGAAAGGGGGCACATAACTGCTTCAGCTCTAAAATACAATATGTAACGTTACACAGCCTTGAAGGAAAAACATGTTTGGATATAAACATGCCACTGCTCTGCTGGGTGATCTTGGGCAAGTCTTCACCTCCAGGCCTGTTTTTCTCCTTCTATCAAATAGGGTTAATGATCTTTGGAAAGTGCTTTGAGATTGGCAGATGAAGAACTCCATCAGAACTAGGCATATCAACTTTTCCTGTAGAACAGGGTATTAATTGCAGGAATAATAAGCTCCCTACCACACAGACCAGCCAAAACTTAACTAGAAGAAAATCCAACACATCTGGACAAGCAGAAGCCTTTCAGATTTGGAGCAGAGACGAGTGAGGATTGATATTACTTTGGGATTCCATGCCATCATATTTACCCCAAGTAGGGGATTAGAAAAGTAGATATCTTAATCCACTGGGCCCAAGTTCAGCTAGAGGTTTCAGGCAATGTGGTAACATCCCTTTCCTTCCTTTGGGGAATTATACAAGATTTGGGGGCCTGGTTGACTTTGATAGCATCATGCTGAATCAGATATATTTCCACTCAGCATCTTTCAAACACAATGATGTGGATGAAATTGAGCTAGACACATTGGAGAGACCATGACTATGAGAGCCTTGCTGACACGGTGGACGTGGGGCTTAGGGAGCCCTGTAGAAGGTCTTGCCCTCTAGTAGTTAGAACCTGTGGATCTTGTGGTCTTTCGGTTTTGGCACATGAATAAGTTGGGATGGTCACATGACCTGTCTGGCAAGCCATATTAGGAGGATGTAGATACAAGTCTAAAACTATCAAAACCTCAGACATCTTAGCCAAAAAAAGAGTAATCAAATCAGTTACTCTAGGGCACTTTAACCAATTAAGTAATTTCCCAGTACAATTGATTGCATACCAGAAATCAGCATACAACTTCTTCTCACCAATGCTGGTATAATACTTGAGCACCTATTTAGCTATAATACCCAACAAACAGTTAGCAGAAAAGTTTGTTAAAAACCAAAAAACTCCACTGCTTCAATTATTAATTGAGAAAGCTTCCCTCTAGTTGAGGTAAACACAGGGAAAGTTAAAACCCCCAACTGCCATACTGAAGAAGCCTTTCAGGCCTTCTTACTCCATCAAAGTGTAACAAGGGGGTACAATTCTTTTTCCTTTGCAGTTTATCTTTAAAGAAGTTGTGTAACGCTTTCAATGGGGGTTAGGCAGTGAAACAAAAACAGCCAGCCTCAATCCAACTCTTTCTATTCAATAAGTTAATCGGAGTGGAGAAGGCTTTGTATTAATTTGTCATTACTATTACATGAAAGATAACTTTTAAGTGCTAGTCAAATCCCATCGTTGGGAGAATGTAACCCCTTAAATGACAAAGGCTGAACTCTTGTTTCACTTGATACTGCAGACACACTCCAAGTACAATAGACCAGGTCTACACTATAAACTTACTAGTATAGTAATGTCATGTGGGGTATGATTTTTATGACTTATAGCAACAAAAGCCCTAATGAAGGTGTAGTTATTACCCCGCATAAAAGTGCTTGTGCCAGTATAACTTATTTCACTCAGGGAATGAGTTTAAGCTGCAGGTACAGCCGGCAAACCTTTTCTAGGTTAGCACCTGCCTTAGATCTGCACGCAGCAAGAGGAACTGCAGGAGCCCAGTCCTCAAGTAATCAAAAAGAAAAATCAGATGAAGTTCACACACCCCCTCCAGCAAAGTCACAGGGGGAGCAACATGCAACATTTGGGGTTTTACATTTGTGTGGATCAAAGCTAACTAGCTAGTAGCTCATGCTAATATTTCATATAGTTCACCATTAGCATCACAGCAGCCGGAGCATATCCTGTGAAAATGCCACATCAGTTTTCAGTCTGCTCTTTACTCAAGCTGATTTAATCCTTAGTTTCCTATTTCAACAAATCTACAGAGTATTCACATTTAGTAATCACACATTTACTATTTGGTGCAGTCTTTATAGGAAGTCAGTACTGTCAGGAAATTAAACCTTCAATGATGCAGGGAAACTGCACCCATCTGTCATGGTGTATGCTGACCTACACGCTACACAGCGTAAACAGTCACAATGCTTCCCATTACTAGCAGTGGGATACATGCCCAGTAAACTCCTAGCACCTAATGTATTAGAGATTTAAAGAGCCAATACTTACTTCTTGGCAAGTTGATGTAGCAGAAACAAGTGTCCATGTAACTGCCAACCATCTGCATGGAAGTAGTGAGGAACCAGTTTTTGATTTACTGATTAAATACTCAA